TTATAAATGAATTCAAATCATAAAGGAGTCGTGAATCTTTTCTATCAAAGATATAAACAAAGAGAGAGCACTTCCAAATAGAAGTGCGCCTATGAATCCAACTTGAGTAAATACATCAAGATATTAGAAGAAATACAACCTTAGTTAGAGCTTGACTTGTTGCAAAAATCTTCAAAATTTTGATCTTATTCCAACAAACTTCTCAAGCTTACTAATTCTTGTTCCCATTGTATTTTTAGAAGTATAATTTTTTTGGATTTGGTTATGATGTTGATATATTTGCTTCCTTCAACTACAAAACTTCTTGATGTATACTTTGAACTTCTTCTCTAACTATAGGATTAGTGTTTCTATGGGTGGCATTGGTGATGTGTGAAATTTCGACCTTAAAAGTATTGACAAGTTTGTCAAATCTATAATAGATGCAAATCTGTTTTCACTTCTACCAAGTATAGCATCTATGATTTTTTCTTCTATTTCAAATAACTTAATAAATTCACAAGTCAAATAAAAAGAAGATAATCTGTAACCTCTAATATAAAATAAAAATTCCTATAAAGAAAGATATCTGCTTTCTTTAAAAAAATAATCAATGTTAGAAAACTAAACAATTTGTTTAAAAGTGGATAATCTATAACTTTCAAAATACAACAATAGAAGTAGATTAATCCACTCACTTTTTAAAACATGACAAAAATAATAAGTTAAAATTCTTCTCAAACTATCAAGAATATGAATCTTCGAAACAAAAATCCTCGATACACTCTTGTGTCACTTGAAAAAACTAAAAAAAGACTCAAAGTTGATAATATTTTGAACAAGAATGATTATTGCCAAAGACAAAAAGACTAAAAAGACTTAAAATAAGACTGAGGGCTAAAAAGGCATTGTCAAGATTGAAAAAGGCTTCACTCTTGCCTCCATATATACTATCTAACTAAGAACTATGTTGCAATATTCTAAACGACCTCCAAAATATGTTGATTTTATAAGACATATATTTTAACTTAGAAGAGAAGTTTTTTATATGTGCACTACATAGTTAGCTTGTTTTGCAAGCTATTCATACATAATTAACTTGTTGACCAAGTATTTAACCTATTAATCAACTATAAATACATGTAAAGTCAAAGTAGTATCCATAAAGCTTTTAGAAAGCTTTTTTAGAAAATATTGTGAAATAAATCTACTTTCACTTTTTTTTGCTTAATTATATAAGTAAATATTAGAATAAAAAAATATGTCAAGGTCAACAATAAATGGCTTCAATTTCAAATAGAGTTATAATATATGCTAGCAAATTGTTGCAAATTATACATTCTAATATTTGTAGACTGATAAAGATGCCATTAATTGGAAGAGCAAGGTACTTTGTCATATTTATTGATGATTTTTCAAAATAGGTGTTGATATACATCATTAAAGCTAAGAATGAATATTTCTTAAGATTTGAGGAATTTAAGATACTTGTGAAAAAATAATGTGAATGCAAGATTAAAGTGTTGTACATGGAAAATAGGGCTAAATATATGTCAATGCATTTTGATGACTTTTTGAAGATACAAGGCATTGCAAGACAATCTTCTATTCTATACACTCCACAATAAAATGGAATTACTAAAAGAATAAATTACACTTTTTTGGAGATGGCAAGAAGTATGCTTTATGCACAAAACCTTGGATATGAATATTGGGCGGAAGCCATGGTTATTATAGTATATAGAAGAAAAAAGGCCACGGAAGAGCATTGAAATCAATAACTCTACAAGGAATTTAGAGTGACAAGAAACCTTTTGTTTCACACATGAGGATTTTTGGATGTATTGCTTATGCAAAAGTACGAGATTATATGAGGTCCAAATTTGATACAAAAGATACAAAATATGTATATTTTGGATATTATGAAGATACAAAGGTATATAGGCTAATACGTTTAGAAACCAAGAAGATCATTAAGAGTTGTAATGTAGAGTTTTTAGAGCATAAGAATACTTATGAATACTTTGAAATGTGTCTAAGTAGAAGTAATGGTATTTTTGTTTCATTTATTTTTAATTTTAGCAAAGAATGAAGAAAAAGATGATGACAATGAAGATAGTAGATATACAAATCAAGATAGAGAGTCAATGAAGATAGATCAAAGTATGTCTATAATTACTAGACCAACAATGAAGACAATTAAGATGTTGAAGATGATAATGATGGAGAGTATCAAGTACTAAATGTAAAGAGACGAGCTTTAAGAAAGAAGAAGGTTGCAAGAATTTTTAGAATGCAAGAAGATGAATCTTCATCAAATGAAGGGATATATCTTTTGAGAGATAGAAAAAATTTTGGTAAATAGTGGATAAATCACATCTTTCTTCAAGTAAGTGAACAACATATCAATATTACACTTTTTATTGATCCATTGAGTTTGATGATGTAATAAAGTCCATGGATGCAATGAAGTAGAAAAATACCATGGAAGAAGAGTATAAATCATTCATGAACAATGAAACATGGAAAATGACTCAACTTCCACAAAATCAATCTTCAATTGGTTATAAGTGAGTACTTAGATCCAAGAAAGATATTATAGGCAATATTATGAGATACAATGTTAGATTGGTTGGTAAAAGCTACTCACAAGTTGCTGATATTGTTTTCAATGAGACATTTGCTCTCACATCCAAATTCAACACCATTAGAATTATGGTGGCAATTAAGACAATATTGGACTCAAAGATGCATTAAATAGATGTGAAAATGGCTTTCTTAAATAGAAGCTTGGAAAATGACATCTACATGGTTAAACTACAAGGATTTGTTGAAAAAGACAAACAATATCTTGTTTATAGTTGAAGAAATCTTTTTGTAGGCTCAAGCAATCACCAAAAGTATAGTATAAATGTATTGACACATTTGTTGTAAATGAAAGATTTAAAAGAAGTAAGGCTAATCATTATATGAATGTCATGCAATCAAATAAATTTATATTAATTGTCATTCTCTCTGTTGATAATTTGATCATCTTAACCAATACCTTGAAGATATTGGATTGATTGAAGGCAAAATTAGAAAATGAGTATGAGATGAGTGATTTGGAAAATCTTCACTATTATTTAGAAGTAGAATTTGTGAGAGGTTATACTAAGAAGACCATTACAATGAGCAAAAATAAGTATATTGAAGAGGTATTGAAACAATTCAATATGGAAGAGGGTAGGCCTATTAAAATACCTTTAGAGGCCAATTTGAAGTTAATAAAGTTTACGGATGAAGAATTTGCTTGAATTAAAGGTCAAATGCAAGGTGTTCCACATAAAGCAGTAGTGGACTCATTTATATATACAATGGTTGGCACAAGAGTGAATCTTGCATATGTCATAAGTATTGTGAGCCAACACATGTCAAAGGTTGAATCAATCCATTGAGCAACCATCAAAACAATCATGAAGTACTTAAAAGGTATTTTGCATTTCAAATTAAGTCTTAGAGATAATAACATTACTTTGCATGATTATTCTGATGTAGATAGGAGTGGAGATGCAAATAATAAAAGGTCAACAATAGAGTATGTATTTTCTATTGGAATCAGGGCTATTTCATGGAATTGCAAGATATAACCAACAATTGTAAGATCAACAATAGAACCCAAGTACATGGCAGCAAGCTATAATAGAATGGAGACAATATGGCTAAGACAACTTTTGGAAGACATTGAAGTAGTGCAAACATAAGCAATTCCAATGGAATATAACAATCAAGAATGTTTTAGATTTACAAAGAATCCAAAGCATCATTTAAAGACCAAATACAATGACATTCAACATCACTTCACAAGAAAAAAGATTGAAATGGAAGTAATTGATATGAAGTATTGTATAATGGAAGACATGCTTGCTGATTTGTTGGCAAAGGGATTAATAAATGATAGACATCACATATTAAGATTGAAAGCCTTTGATCCATAGCAAAGTAGAAGTGTTAAAGTAAGTAAATAAAAGTGAAAGTAGAATAAATTACCTTTTAGAAGCTATTATCTTAAGTAAGTTGCTATTGATCAAAGAATAGGCTTTTGGTATGTAAAAACGCCAAGACACAAGGTAGATGAACAAACAAAGGATCTTAAAGGTATAGAAGATATATTAAAGGCATATTCTTATAGAAGATAAGATATTTAATAGAAAGTATCGATAAAATGTTAGATAGATGTATTCATCAAAGATAAAAATTGTCCAACAAAGCAATAGCTACCACCTATAAGAAATGCATTATAGAAGTATGAGTTATTTTATTCCATAATTTCCTTGTGTACAAACCTTATTAATGCTATATATTGTGACTTCAAAATTCCTTTTTTTTTTTTTTTTTTTTTTTTTCAATAGATCACTACCTTCAAAAATCAAATCTTCACCATTTGAGAATTATAAAGAACAAGAAAGGATTATATATCACAAGGCAATACAAGGGTAGAACATGCGGATTGATTTACAGTTTCAAAGTGCAATTTAATTTTCTTTGGACAAAACCTTCTACAAAAAACCATATGATTCCATTCAAAAAGTGCCGAAAGTAAAGAAGACAGTTAAATAGGTGTTGCAGATTTGAGTTTGCTGAATATTTAGAAATTCAAATGGACAAAGATGATAATTAAAGTGACAGCATCTTATCAGTTGATTAAAGATCTATTTGGCCGTTGCCGTTTACTTCATAACGACAGCACACAAAGAATTCCTTTGAATTTAAATAGCCGACTCTATTTCAACTCTTCCTCCTAAATTTCTACATTGCAACTCGTAAATTACAAATGTTTCATTGAATAATTCTCGAGGAAGAATATCATTCATCTCAGGTAATTTATTGATTAGGAGAGGTAGTTTAGGTGTAGATGGGGGTAATAAAAAATTTGCCGGGAACTGTACAAAGATAGAGATAAAAAACATGTTTCTTTGGAACAGGATAAAAGATGCAATATCACGGGGATTAGCGCCGAGAATATGTTACAGAACGAGGCAAAAAAAAAAAGGATTTTCTTCAGTCAAACTTCACAGTAATTGTAAAATGATAACATAGAGGGGCTCAATCAACAGACAAACTGTAACGTCGACAACAGAATTGACATATTCTGTCGAGCATATCAAAACAACCATGGAATCAAGACGGTCAACGAATGAACTTGAACGGAAACATGTCAAGTATTCGGGATATGACAGAGGGCATTAAAGGAGAACTCAGGAAATAGTAAAGGTATCCGTGACATGAACTCGCTAAAATAATCCTGACACCAAGATGAACTACATGACTATCTTCAGGCGGGTAAGAATGAAAATTAAGTCTCCACAAGCATCAGCGAAATGCGCTGCATATACTCCGAAAAATTATCAAGTCCGAGTACTCAGGAATAAAAAGTCTCTTCAATCCCAGGAGATTTACTTCTTCTTGGCGGCGGCCTTGGTCACCTTGGCACCAGTTGGCTCCTTCTTCTCCACAGCCTTGATGACACCCACAGCCACCGTCTGCCTCATGTCCCGCACCGCGAACCGTCCCAATGGTGGGTACTCCGCGAACGTCTCCACCGTCATCGGCTTCGTCGGAATCATCTTCACGAACCCTGCGTCTCCGTTCTTCAAAAACTTCGGCTCCTTCTCCAGCTCCTTACCCGATCGCCTGTCCACCTTCGTCAAGATCTCCGCAAACTTCACCGCAATGTGCGACGTGTGGCAATCCAGCACTGGCGCATAACCGTTACCGATCTGTCCCGGGTGGTTCATGATGATAACCTGCGCCGTAAAGTTTGCTGCCTCCTTTGCAGGGTCATTCTTCGAGTCTGAGGCCACGTACCCTCTCTTCAGGTCCTTCACCGCCACATTCTTCACGTTGAACCCAACGTTGTCACCCGGGTGTGCCTCGGGCATCGACTCGTGGTGCATCTCCACAGACTTCACCTCAGTCGTCAGTCCCGTCGGTGCGAAGCACACCAACATGCCCGGCCTGATGATTCCCGTCTCCACCCGTCCCACTGGCACAGTTCCAATGCCTCCAATCTTGTACACGTCCTGAAGCGGCAGCCTCAGAGGCTTGTCAGATGGCCTCTTCGGCTCCGACACGTTGTCCAACGCCTCCAACAGAGTCGGACCCTTGTACCAGTCCAGGTTCGTCGACCTCTCGATCATGTTGTCACCCTCGAACCCTGAGATCGGCACGAACGGAATCTTGTCCGGGTTGTACCCCACCTTCTTCAGGTACGCCGACACCTCCTTGCTGATCTCCTCAAATCGGGCCTTGCTGTACTTCGGGGTCGTCGCGTCCATCTGCCACCCTCCACATCACCAACATCAGCCCACCTCACTGCCCCCCAAAAATGCACGCAAAAAACCCTACCCCTTACCCCACTCGTCTGCCCCCGACATTACCCACGCCATGTCCATAACGCAACCCAATGCCACCACCGCGCCCCGCTCCCATACCATGTCCCTACCCCCCAACCTCAACCAAAATGCCCCCGAACCCACCTTGTTGCAGCAGCAAATCATCTGCTTCACTCCCAAAGTGAACGCCAGCAGTGCGTGTTCACGCGTCTGCCCATCCTTCGAGATACCGGCCTCGAACCCTCCCGTCGTCGAGTCGATGATCAGCACGGCACAGTCCGCCTGCGACGTTCCCGTGATCATGTTCTTGATGAAATCGCGATGTCCGGGCGCGTCGATAACAGTGCAGTAGTACTTCACGGTCTCGAACTTCCACAACGCGATATCGATCGTGATACCACGCTCGCGCTCTGCCTTCAGCTTGTCCAGCACCCACGCGTACTTGAACGAACGCTTGTTCATCTCCGCCGCCTCCTTCTCGAAACGCTCGATCACACGCTTGTCGATACCTCCCAACTTGTAGATAAGGTGCCCAGTGGTCGTCGACTTGCCGGAGTCGACGTGGCCGATGACCACGATGTTGATGTGGACCTTCTCCTTACCCATCTTGAACTAACTGCATATAACATAAACGCATTCAATGATAAAGCCGTTAATTCAGTCCTGATCATCGCTATGGGAGAAAGGATATCCTCTATGACTCCTTCTCTCAACGAAAGTGAAAGCGTTTCAGCACACAAGAGTGTCTGTTGAGTAGAATCTCAAATATGGGAAAGAGGGAAGCTGGATGACCTAACAAAAACTGTGACTAGACCACGTAGGTTAAAAAACCAGGACTGACGGAGACGGAATCACTGCTTCTTCTACTATCTTACAAAGACGACTCCATTGCCAGTGATCGGAAAAGACCTGGGGGACCTCTTGCGACGAAGTCCACGACAGCAGACTTGATAAGGTCGCTCTTAGCCAGAATGTTTAAGTCACATTCAACGAAGAGGTAATGAACAGCTTTGAGGGGACTGAGGTTTGTAGACATAATATCAAAAAGAAGCAGGAAAGAAGGCATACCTCAAAATTTAAGCAGGTTGCGAATAGGTACAAAAATCTCTGCTCCGAGACCTCTCGCGATCACTGTGAAGTGGGATGCTGTGCGGCGCGGCCTCTTGAAGGGCTCCTGTCCCTTAGGGTGTGGAAGCCGCGCTGGTCCGAGGCTGAATCCGACGGCGGAGTTTTCTCAACGGCGGGCTTTGTTGTTTGCGGCGATTGCGCCAGCTCAGGCCAGTGCTTGTTCGTGTCAGTGTTGCATAGACAGATGAGTCATCACTTGCCCTAATCTGTGGTCAGAAAATGCCTTGTCGTCTTAGCATCCATCCGCCGCGCCCACGTGGCGCTGCCTCGATGGATCCAACTTCTGCCAACTGTATCGGCCAATCCTCCTATGGGAGAGAGCGCTTTCCCATTGGTTTTTGGTTTTGGAAAAATATCAAATATATCCCTCAAATGTCCTAAAATATCAATAATATCCCTATTATTTTTGATAATACAAATGTATCAGTGTACCCAAATGATTTATTTGATGTTTTTCTTTGATTGAATCTAGTAAAGAATTGATAGATACAAAGAGAATATAATGAAATGAGCACAAATTGTGCATGCGTCCTTTACTGTTGTTTGTTTGTTTTTTGGTTTCTAGACATTGTTTTTAATAGTTTCTACCATATACTATGCAAAATGGCATCCTAGGTTTGAATTGAAAGATGTACATATTTGCTTGATAATCATAAGCACTAGTCAAAAATTTAGGCTTGACAAAGACTTCATCATTTAAATATACAAATTCAACTTTATATTCACCATTGAAGAGTTTTATCTTGGATACACTACACAAGACATCAACTAAGAATTTGAATATAAGAGTTTTAACAAGAAAGCCAATAAGAACCTCATTAAACAAGATGAGTACAAGATCAACACTAAGAGTCTTGAACTAGAGCTTTAAAAGATGTGTAGTTGAGACTAAAGATCCTTCAACTTCAATTCCAATATATATTAGATATTAAGAAGCTTCTCAAGAAGTTTTCATATTCCTTGAAAATAAAGCAATCTTAAGAAGATTTTTGAAAAGTTCCTATATTGCTTGAAAATGAAGCAATCATAAGAAGCCTCTCAGATAATTTTTTTAAACATTTTAAAACTTTTTAGAATCTACCATAATATTTTATAAATCTTTTATAACATTTTAGAATATTTTAAGAATATTTTTTATGATCTTTTATTAAATTTTTTTTAAAATATTTAGGAATCTTTTAGAATTTGATAAAATATTTTAAGAATATTCTTAAAATATTATTATTAGATGTTTGTAATATCACCTCTCCTTCTAACTTTGAATTCCACAAAAACCATCAGTTTCACATTTTCTTTTTTTGTTATAAATAATATCCTAATAATAGCTTTATAAAAAAATCATTTTAAAATAGACTTAGGTTTTTGAAGATAGTATCAATGAAACTCAAGTATCTTTTGTGGCGAATTAATTGGATTTTTTGTTAGTTCCTTCGTACACTCATTGATGTTGTAGCCATGCCAATAATGATTTATTTCAATGCATGGCGACGATAGTTGTATTCTTTTCAAAATAGTTGATTTTGTATAAGCTTCTAAGAGAGAGATATGAATGACTAGATTTTTTTTCTAAATTTGTTTGAATATGCTCTGTAAGAATCTTGAGGTGCTTATAAATGGAGCTTCAAAATTGTCTAGAGTTGTTACAATTATTTTGTAAGATTTTTTGCTGAGTTTTTTTCTTTTAATGTACCTAATAAATCAAGCTTTGGATGATAATCATAATTGGCATAAAATGGTATTTGTTCAATCAAAGCATGAAGAATATTATCACAAGCAAACTCTATTTATTCTAAATACAAGGTCCAATCATCTTATTAATAGTTAATAATACATCACAAATACTGTTCTAAAACTTAATTGATTTGTTCAATTTGACCATTTGTTTGAAGGTGGAAGGTAGAAAAAAGTTTGATATCCACCTTCAATATGCTGAAAAAAGATATCCAAAACTTTGATATAAATTGAGGTCTTTAATTAAAAAAAATGATGTCATCAAGTAGGCTATGATATTGATATATATTATCAAGAAAAAGCCTTGCCATTTTTTATCCAAAAATTACCTTTCTGTATGAGATAATGTGTGCTATTTTTTTAAGTTAATCTATAAGTATGTAGATAGCATCAAATGTAGCTTATGGTAATAGATCAGTGATAAAATCCATTGATATTGAAGACCACAGTCACTTTGGAATTGATAGTGGTTGTAAAAATACATAAGGACAATGTTAAGAATTCTTGAATTTTGAACAAATGTCATTTGACAAACCTGAATTTTGAATAAAGTCCTTCATGGTCTTCTATATTTGAGACTATTAAAAATCTTAAGAAATGAGCTCCAATGTTTTATTAAATCCAAAATCCCCTACAGTTGGAAAATCATGACAAGATTGAAGAACACAAAGTCACATCGGTCCATCTAAAATATACAAGAAATCTTCAAAATATAAATGATCTTTGATGAATTTGAACTTATTGTTATTAGGGCCTTGCTTGATATTATAAACTAATGAATTCTTAGCTATTGTTGTTCAAATTTGTTCAAGAAAACTTGAATTAACAAATGTAACTATAAAAGTAATACAAAGATTAAATAATTGTAGCTTCAAAAAAGTGATATATTGCTAATCAAATACTACTTTTCCAATATTTTGAGCTAGAAATGATCGCTTTGATAAAGTGTTTGATAGTCATTGCTGTTTTTTTGGCTAGTATATAATCGCAAAAATTAAAACAATATAATCACATATACTAATAAGTTTGGCGGTAATTCAAAATTCGAACTGACATAAAACACTCTAAAATTTTGTAATCTATACATACAATCATAGGATGTATAGTACCTTTCAACAAATGATGCCATTCTTAGAAATACTTTACAATTGTATTATTGCATAATTGTATAATTATGGAACTATTGAAGCCCTTTTGTTAAAAATCCCATAATTGATCTTTATAGCTAAAAAAATTCTAAAATAGAATGAAATTGGATAGAACTTTCAATCTTTTCTCATTTATGATTGTATAGCTCTTAATACAAAGTTAGAAGCATTAGTCTCAAAATAAAAGACCTTTGTAAAATTTAGATGCATTAAAATTAGAGTTGTAGTAAAAACTACCTTCAAATCTTGAAAAGTCCTTTGTACTTGAGATCTCTATTCTAATTTGTCTTTTGATGTTAGTTGAGTAAAAGAAGCAATAACTTAGGAATAATTTTTGATAAATATTCTATAGAAATTAGCAAATAAAAAGAGACATTGTATATTCCATATTGTCTTTGGAATTGTTCACTTTGTTACAGCTTGAATTTTCTTCAAGTCCATCAATAAGTCTTTATTGGATATAATATATCCAAAAAATTCTACTTTTGGCTCATGGAATATATATATATTTTTTAATTTGGCATATAATCTTATATTGCATAGTTTTTATAAGATTAACTTCATATATTCTTTATATTCTTTAAGAGTCTTAGAGTAGATTAAGATATGATCAAGATAACAGATAACAAACTTGTCCAAAAATTCTAAAAAAATATCATAAATCAAATGCTAGAATATAGCTCGAACATTTATCAATCAGAAAGGCATGACATTATATCCAAAATGTACATATATTATCGAAAATGTTGTCTTTGATTCATCTCATTCTTTAATTTGTACTAAATTATATGCTATATAGAGATCTATTTTGGTATAGATCTTAGTCTAATCAAGTTGCTTCAATAGCTCTAATATCAATCGTAATGGATAATAATTCTTCACTATTATTTTGTTGAAGATACAATAATCAATACACATTTATAAAGATCTATCTTTTTTTGCAAAAAATAATTGTGCACTTACTGAGAATTTGGAATGTTGAATAAAGTTCTTTGCAAGATTTTAGTCAATGTAATTCTTTAATGTCAAAGACTCGTTCTATAATATGTTATAAATTGGGCCAAATGGTAGTTGAATCTTTTCTTAAAGATGAATGGCACAATTATATAATCAATGCTCTAGCAATATGTCAACATTCTCCTTTTCAAAGATATCTTAAAATTCCTTATATTGCTCTAGGATAGCTACTATCAAGCTTACTTCTTTATAAGTTGAATTTGCATAAATAATAAATAATAAATATATTTTTAGCCATCTTTATAAAAGTCTTTACTTCAAAAAATAAAGGCCTTGTTATTGATGACTTTTTAATAGGTTTTGCCTAAAGAGATTCTATAGAACATTAAATCTTATCAAACCTCTTTTTTTTGGATGAATTATAACTTTTTAACTATGAAAGTCGTAGAATGATAGGATTAAATGAAGTTGTAATAATATTGAATATTATTTCACTACTATGGGCTTCAAATGATATTTATGGAGGTATGGTTTCATAAATAATATTGCTTGAAGATAAATGTCGATCATAAATTATTTATATATGTACAAGTTTGGACTTTTGTATTAAAGGAATTTTATAAAATTTAAAAAATTCTTTATTTAAAGAACAAGCAAATGTTTTTGAATCTAATAAAGTAATTGTTTGAAGTTTTTATAGGCAAAGAAATGAAGGTATAGTAAAATAATAAGCAAGTTGAATAGAGAAAGTATTACGGACATATGCATGTAAGCTAATAATTACATATATAAATAGGTAGAAGTAAGTAAAAGTATGTAAAAGTAAATTAATTCTATAGTATTTGATATGAAAGCTTCCTAGAAGCTTCATAGATGCTACTTTGACTTTATAGGTGTCTTTAATTGACTTTTTGGGATTAGAAACGTGGTCAATAAGTTGGGCATGTGCCACACATGTTGTTAGCTTGAAGACCAAGCTAACTATGTGGCCCATACATAAAAAAACTTACCTTGTAAGTCAAAGCATGTATCCTACAAAGTCAACACATATTTGAGGTCTTATAGAACGTCGCCATGTAGTCTCTAGTTAGATAGTATATGTAGAGACAAGAATGAAGCCTTCTTCATTCTTAACAATTCCTTTCTTGCTTCTTATCTAGTTTCAAGGGTCTCTAGTTTTCTTGGCTTTTGGCAATAGCCATTCCAGTTTCTTTCTTAATATATATATATATATATATATATATATATATATATATCAAGTTATTTCTATTTTTTCATCTTTCTATGAG